CTGTTAACATCAACAGTTCAAAAATTATTGTGTATTTTAGAATCAATAACTCTTGCACTTTATTTATCGTATTTATTTGTGCAAACTGTACTGGAAATGTTAAATTATAAAACTTTTTAAGAAACATAATACAGAAATTTAAACTTTGAAACTAGAACATGAATTGAAAATTGTCTATATTTCTCACTGAATAATGTTTTCACTGACCTGTATGTTTTAAGTCTTCTGTACTATATATTATATATTATTATATCTATTCTTTTATATCTATACTATTATAATAAAGCGTAAACACACGCTACTTTGTAGCGTAAGATGTCAGCTATTACAACATATATTTGAATAATCATTTTTAATAAAAAGCCCTACACTTACGAACTGGTTTAGGCTGTATATTTTCAGGCTATTAAACTTAAGGGATCAATAAATTGGAGAAAAAACCTTTACGTTGGAAAGAGACCATAAGCTACAAGCTGCCAACATCAAGAAAGATTGCCATGGTTTCATCATTTCACATCATTTTGATATTTGCAATTGATAATTTAACAAATGTAAACAATGAAATAAAGTTTTTTAATTTCATGCGGATGAAGCCGCACGGGAACAGCTAGTCTATGTTATGTTTAACTTGACATAATGTCGTTTGTAATTGATGTTTCCTCTCATATGTAAAGTAACATTATTAAATAATCTTAATATAGAAATATGTCATTAATTTTGTTATAAAGCCAATTAATATAACGGTAAATAATACCGTAACTACAACTAGTAAAGTAACATTATAAATGCGAAAGTTTAGATGAACGGATGGATGACCTTAACCCTTTCTGAGAATGTTTGTAAATCTACATTTTCACTAAAACTTATAAGATTTTCAAACAACTGGACCGATATCGAAAAAAAATTTGCCATAACATCATTATCGAGAATCATACGCTAGAATATTACAAGATTTTTTTAATCCCGCGCACATGAGAGTAAAAGATAATCTTTAATAATATGTAAGAAATAATGGGCTAGAAACGCATATATTTTAATATATCTGTTGTTTCTCAGCCGTGTTCACCGCCTATCCGATTGTTCTCTATCTTTAAATTGTTATAACGCATTCTCCATTATATTGTGCGGTTCGAAACTATCCTCGGTTCGATTCCCGTTGCCCGCTCTTAGTGGTTTTTGTTCAGTGTTTCTTCAAATGATTTTCTTGTCAACGATTCTACGTAATGATGCATGAATAGATAACTTAGGGGAGATATTCTCAAACGAATCACTATTGTGTATTGTAATGCTGATTGTATTAGCTAACTTGTCTTTACTTCTAGTAAATTTACCGCATTGATTAAAAGCTCTTTAAAACCTAAAAGCTCACACCCGACGGGTTTTAAGAAATGTGAAGATTACTACAGACTATGTTAATTTTTTATTTTACTCAACATTTTCTTCGAAGTTGATCTCGTATTCATCTTTCAATATTTTCACATTAAAGTAAATACACTTAGAAGATGGTATCATGTACGTTGTTATCTAATTTATGTCAACACAATCACCGCTTGGTTTGTAACAAAATGATTAATCCTTGGATTCAATAACAGACTTTCGTCCTCAGACGACTTAATTCTCTACAAGCAAAAGATTTCAACGCGTACAATGTTTTTCAAACTCTTAACGTAAAAATATTTATACCACCTTTGATTACAAGTTTAAATGCTTTTAATTATGTTAAACATGTCACTTTTTATTTAAATAACGGGAGGTTTTAACATTTTCTACCACTTCAATTAACATCACGGATTAAAGTATAAATCAAGTTCGATTCTATATTGTAACACAGGTGTATAATGAAACGAGAATCGAGGCGACGTTGAGAAACTCGATGCCTTAACTTAGCCGAGCTTTAGCAACACCAGCTTTCCCGCTAAGCTCGCGCCCAGCCCAATCGTAACATCAAAAGTGAACCAACCTCCAGAATCCTCAACACAACACTGTTTCGTTCACGAACATAATCAATTCCTCTTTTTATCTCAACTTTTTTTTCGGAAATAGCCCGATACGAGAACACTAATGCACAAATGATTGCAATAACTTTGTTATTAACACTTCACTGCAATCCGAATACACGGTTTACGTTATGTTAATAATGTCGACACTTTTAAGTTAACACTTTTGTTGAAAACGTGTTTTTGTGCTTTAAGTTTGAAGTCGCGATAAAGCGGCCGGTCGCGGCCGATACACCGAAGGCACTAGTGCGCCCGCCGCCCGCCGCCCCCCACGCTCCCGAGACGCTCCCCCCTCATAACAGGTTGTGCTCGGCGTTCGCATACCGTTTGAACGCCAATTTCGTAGCTCCTCTGGATAGGGACGCCTGATCCGTTGAGCCAATGATTAAAGATAAAGCCTACGACAATTATATTACACACGTTCCACGTATGATATTCCGTTTGTTTATTTTTAAACATTCATTTACAGTAACATGTGTTTAAAACTTTATAACATTACTATGCATGTGAAAATGTTATTAATACATATCTCACAATGTCAATAAATGAATTATTATTAATAATAATTATTATTATTAATGTCGACAATGTATCGAACGTGTTATTTTAAACTAACAACGGCTTCATTCTCTACATTTAAAAGATCTCAACGCGTACAATGTCCGAATACACACAACGTAAAATCATTCAAACATTCCATATTAAAATTTGAAGACTGTGCACTTTCACTAAACTATCGCATAACTGTTTAGTCGCGATTTGATTCCTACCAGCTTCTATAGATGTGCGTACACTACTCGATTTTTAGTTGTGCAACTAAACAGTTGTATCAGCGAAATAATCGACAATCGCACCACAGTTGTGATCATACATTGGTTGCGTACATATTTTTTTATAAAATAAGTCAATAAAATACTGCCATTGATTTTTATTTAAAAATTACAATAAAATTAAACATCAAGTAAAAGCTTAACAAGCATGAAAACGTTCAAAGTGCAATTCAAGATGTCATCAATACATACACTTAAGTACTAAACTTACACGGCACCTTACTCTAAATGATGAAGATATTGCAAAAGGAGCAAACATGCGGCTGCGCCCGCGCGTGCAAGCACTTACATTGTTGTCCGCAATCGCGATGCAACGTGGCTTCAATTTAATTTACAATCACAGTTCTCTATTGTGATCGGGAAAAATATGCTGTCTTTATAATATTACATCTAGTTTTAGCTTTCCCCATAATTATTTGATAAACTCCAATGTCACTATCACTTGTTTTAAGTTTTAACCTACTTGCATAATATCAAATGACTTTATAAGGGTATGAAATTAACTTCCTCGGCTATACATCGTGAGTGTTTTATCGGAATCTGAAATTTACAAGTCTAGTGTTTCACCACAGAACTACTGACGCTCGTTATAGATACATTTATGTACAGATGCTATACACTTTTTACATAAATGGAGTATGTTTCTGTTTGTATACGTAAGTAAATTAGCCCTGAACGGATTCAAAATATCAGCTCTCACCCTTGGACTATTGAGCTGTGGCTCAACTATTATAGCTAACTATAACTAAGAGCCGACGAGCAGCGAACTGCCTAGTAGATCACTTACGCAAAGCATTCCTCTGAGTAGGTACAAATTTAACTGTAAGTACGTTCACCGATCTGGTTCAAGTGAATGATGAGCTGATCTGCAGGTATCCATTTTACTTCAGTTCATCATCACTATACGTCCCTACTAAGAGGCCCGGACCCACCTAATGACGAGGGCCCTTAGAATTTCTTCGCAAATATGGGCAGGTTGCATCATGATGTTTTCCTTCACCGTAAAAAGTCGGGTATGGACCTAATATGTTCATAATACGAAATTCGAAAAATCGAAAATCACATTAGTATATGGCGGGATTCGAACCCAAGACCTGTTGATTACAGTCAAATGCTCCAACCACTGAGCCACCGACGCTCTAGTTCAGTTACCCATGTCTATTTTCTTGTTGGTTGCCCAATCTCATACTTTTTATATTCTGTGATCACAGAAAACAATGTTTGTATAAGTTCTTTTCTGCATTCTTAAAACTGGATTAAAAAAAAAACAAAATGTAAGTATTGTAACCAAATTGACATTACTTTAGTAAAATGTTCTAAAATACTAAACATTTTGTGTTTTCTGCACACTCTAGTGGTTTTTGTCAAATTCGGTCTCAATATAAATGATGAATGTTATCAGATATATTCCTATACTAGTTGTCGCCCGCGACTTCATACGCGTGGAATAAAAAAAACAAGTGAAAAGCCTGTTTTTTTTCAGACTATTATCTACATCTATGCCAAATTTCATGGAGATTCGTTCAGCAGTTTAGGCTACTAACTAACAAACATCCATCCATCCATCTTAACTTTCAATAATATTAGTAGGATATTTTAAATTTTTAGATTCAGACATTTCTATATTACAATTTTAAATGCATTTAACACTTCATTTCTATATACAATACTAAAATTGCTTGACACTAATCTTAAATATAGCATAACCTACAATCTCAAGTATAAGTCAGTGGAATAATGAAGATTTAGTTTTCAGAGATTAAGTATGTTTCCCATTAGGCCGATCAAATACAGAAATCAATAAGCCCAAAATAAAAACCCATCGGGCCAATTGTTACGACCAATTGGCCCCACAGGACATAACAGAGGTAATATTAGTAAATTGACTTTTATAATAGAAATTTACTTATTGGTAAAGATAAATTGTAATTGGCTTCAAATCTATTTATATTTATTGCAATTTTGATAATTCTACATATATTAGTTTTACATTGCATGTGAAACAAGGTGACATAAAAACAATTTGAAAAATGCTTTTATATTTTATTGAAGTAGAAAATTGTAATAAAATTAAAATTCAGTGCTGCCGACTGAGAATTCATTTCATATTTAAAAAGCATAGCAGCATTTAATGTGTTAAAACAATCCACAAGTCAATACTCATAATAATCACTTAATCACCATTAAATTCAAAATTAAATGGTATATTAGGCCAATACATTGGTTGATCTTTGTCAGTTTCATTAATAAATTGTGATTGCATCGCGACTTCTATAGCAGATATTCTTTGCCAGCGACTTCCATACAACTCTTTTAATCTTTGTTCCTTCTCCTCAGAGGTCTCCAATTTTTCTTGAATTACATTTAACTCTTCCTGTTCATGTTTCGCTTTTAAAAGTTCCCTTTCCCTTTTAGCATCTTCTTTATATTTAGCATTTGCCGCCAAAAACTGTATAAATTCCTCACTAACTTCAAAATCCATTTCATCAGCACATTCTTTAAAATTTTCTATTTCTCTGTCGTCGTTATCAACTGATTCCTCGTTTTCTGAAAACTCATTCGTGTCTACATCAGAATTAACACAATCATCATCTACAAAATGATTTTTCCGTATAATATCATGTAAAAGTTTGTTCTCGTACTCTAAACCAATAGCCTTTGCTTTCCAGTATGCTAGCTGGTGTTTCAATTGCCATGTTGTGGCCACAGCAAAATTTTCCGCCCATAAACTCATTGATATGGATAACTTAGAATTCTTTTTCCTAGTGTCTTTGCGTACTGCTTTTTGGTTACCACTGGATTTTTTCTTACGTTTTCTTCGCGCTTTTTTCTGTCCTACCCCTGATTCACATTTATTTTGAGTTTGTTTATTGGGTAATTGTTGTGACATCGTTCATTTTTAAAATCTGTCATATTTGTCAACTTCATAGACTGTCAATTTCGTTGTAGATAAAAAAGAGCTTTCAAAGAATCTCAAGCTGGAAAATAATAAATTAACGTATTTGTGACTCAAATCTGAAATTATGATTTAAATATATTAGACTAACGTTCACCCGCGACTACGTCCGCTTGGTATTGTAAAGAAAAAAATATGTAGCCTATGTGTCCTTCCAGAATATCGTCCACATCTATTATATGCCTTTCATCGAGATCCATTTAGCAGTTTAGAGCAGTTTAGACCACAAACTCTAACAAACTATCCAGCCATCCATCTAAACTTTCGCATTTATAATATTAGAAAGCCTAGTAAGATAGAAAGAAAAGAATCGAAGTAAATAGAAAGCATAGGTATCTCAACATCGAACTAATAACGAATTTCAAAAAAGATTTGATTGTTTGAAGGAATTGAATCAGGAAATACTTCAGAAAACCTTGTCCATAAACGCTTAAGAAATAAGTAGAGGTAGAACATGATTTTATTTCTCTGAAAGATAACACTTAGAAGTATTAAAAAAAAGCTTAAAAATGCATATTAATTAAATGTTTTCATTTTCGTAAAATAGTTGCAACATGATTCTAGTTGGTAACACTGGTGCATGGCATGCGACATTGACATATGATCACTGGGGAGGCAATAATGTACAGCCACGATAATGCACGACCCAATAATGCACGGCCCAATAATCCGTGTACAAACAAAGGATTTTAGTACACGAATTATCGGGCCGTGCATTATTGGGCTGTACATTATCGGGCCGTACATTATCGGTACGGGCCAATAATCCGTGTCCCATAAAAAGTATGTACACGAATTATTGGGTCGTGCATTATTGGGCCGTACATTATCGGGCCGTACAAATAATGTACGGCCCGATAATGCACGACCCAATAATATTATATCTCTGTGACAAATTCTTAAAGAATTCTACTGTTGCTTAGCATTATTTCATATAAACTATTTATGTGTCCGTCTTCTTTCCAAATTATTTTAACTATCTTAAGTCTTGAGAGTTGATTAAATGTTACATAAAGAATACAGCACCACTATGTTCTAATTGT